GCGAGAGAGAGGGAGAGGGAGAAGAATAGCAATATTTTCGTTTTTTACGGTACAACTTATCATAACTGCTCAATCAGTTATAAAAGTCCTGCGGAAATAACTGTTTTCATATTTGTGACCGATATTTCATATAAAAGTATTGTACATGTTTTGTTTAGTGTCATTGTGACATGCAGCTACATATAGTTCAGAAAATATCTGTACTTGGCTTCTGCATGATCTGTCTTTCAAGTGTGCTCAAAAATAAAACTTTTCACCTTGACACCAGACATTTTAATTCAAACACAGCCTCAAATATTAATGCCCAAGAAAATGTGCAGAAAGTGGACCAACAACAGATTTGAAAAAATATATCTCAGAAAGTATCTGATGTATGAAGCTAAAATTCCACAGATACCACTCTAAATATTCATAACACGTTTCAAGCAAATCAGAGATGGTCAAGCAGAAGGAGCCTTATTTTAATCATAATGGAATAGCATCTGTGTGATACTACAGTGTCCAAACGCTCAACATTTAGAACACTCGCTGGTCTCGCAGGTCATAATCTGAGAGTCTTACATTGTGTCTACATGGAAGTGGTTGTGGCAGCTGGATTGAAAAATAAAAGCGGATCCGTTCTGTCAGAGGAGTGTGACACCTTCAGTGTAGAACAGTGATCGACCAGCACCGGCACTGCTCAGCTGAAGTGTAAAAGTTCTTCTTTAAAGTCCCTGGAAGGCAAGTTTTATGGTGATTCAAGCAGGCTTGGTGATGATGTGTGAGGACTTGAGTGACTGACAGGTGGCCCAAGAAGCAATTGAGGGAGGAAGTGTAGAGTTCTGGTGGAACAGCTGGCCTGAAGATGATCCCTACTGAAGGACAAGGGAAAGGCAACACAGAGGTTGGTTCAGGAGGAAGTGAGGTCAGTGCTAGTACAGTTGTGGGTATGAACCAGCAGGGAGCCTGAATAAAATGGGAGCAGGCCATGGGTTGGAAAATCCCTCGGGCAGATGTCTGGCAGCCCCATCCTGTTCCTGAAGCAGACAGTGTATGATGTCTTTCCCAGTCCCCTACGTCTCCCTGAACTGTGCCAGAAGGAGGAGCAAATCTTAAGCTGATGATTGAAAGTCCTGGAGCAGGGCCACTACACCTGGCACCGCAACCGAGGGCTGAACCCAACTACAGAAGCCATCAGAATCAACAGCTGCAGACAAGTCCACCCTCCACACAGAGGATCACCTTTGTGAAACAAGGTGAATGGCCACGTGCAGGACCAGAGTGCCTTTGGGCGTGCTGGCAACACCACAAGCTTAGCAGTTATCTGTAGACCTGGAGGGCCCTTTGAAGTTCCCACAGCAGATTGTTAAACCACCAAGAACATCACCATGGTGGACCCGACAGTCCACAGGAGGATTGCAAAAAAGAAGTGCATGAGAAGAGGAACATTTGAAGGATGGTTATCGACTGCAAGAAGCAGGACTAGAAGACAGCATACATGCTCACTGAGGTTGAACTGAAAGGAGTCGAGTCATCAAGAACATGAGCAAGGCAGCAGAAAGATCCTCAAGCTGGTTCTTGGTGTGGAGAGGAGACGCATGAGGAGAGGTAAAGGCTATCTGAGCACATTGTTTTCCACAAGCAAAGGAATCTTTGCAGTATATCACATCTTAATTACATACATTAAAACAATAGTTACTTATATTTGCTCTCACATCTGTAACAGACTCAACATTTAATGCAACAACAAAGAAAATTAGCCATCTTTGTTTTGGGCCCATCTGCCTTCGCCACATCATTTTTCAGATTTAGGGCAAGACTATCCAAAGAGCTTCAACAGAAGGCAACGGAACGCTTCATCCAAGATGCATCAAAGCCTCTTAGTTAAGAGGTGAAATGTCTTCAAGTCCAGTTGCTTCTAATGAAATTGTTAGGATTACCTCAACCTGGATAACTGGGAATCTACAAAGACATAGAGGCCAAGACTATACCTTCACTTCTTAGGCTTTGAGTCAAGGGCCAGCGCTCCATCATTTCCTTCATCACCCAATAATTTCAATAATTTTCCAGGCCTGGATAATTAAAGTATTTTTCTATTCTATTCTATTCTCATCTATTTTCAGCACGGGCCAAAGATACTGTGTCTCCTCTGATACTTGCACTCTTTGAATGCTGTGGTAAAGTTGAGTTTCACACCTTCCCAAGCGACTCCTGTGATACTGTTTTCACTGTGTGGTGAGACATCTGTATGATTTTTAGGATTTTGTGTTTGCGTAATGCCAGCTAAAGTTCTGAATTGTGAGGAAAAGACTAAGAACTAAAAAATGGAGTGGGTCTATTAGACGTTTACTCGACAACCATCTCATCATTAATTAGCAGGTTTGTATTGTGAGAGTGACAGTGACAGCTTACAGAAGGTAAATTTATCATTTGTGGTAAATGATTGAATTGTTTATTATTTGTTCTGGGGTGTAGTTCATCATTTTTGATGAGCAAAAATATCTATGACCTCAAATAAAAAAAGAAACCTAGAACCTGGTTACTTGCTCAGTAAATATGGAATAGTTTACAATATAAATCATTTAAGAACCCTTTTTAATTGCCATCTTATGAAATTAATTGAACGGAAAGGAGAACAAAAGGTCTACAACAGAGAACAGAATCACTTGATAACTTCTCCAGACAAACCAGACAGACAACAGCCACACTGACAAAATAAAGACAGTGTGGGGTAAGATAGACGACATTTGATGACGCTGCGACCGCAAAAATGGCTTACAACTTTAACACAAATGCAGACAGAACAGTCTAAATGCGGGGGGATGTCAAGGATCAGTCAAAAAGCATGCAAAGAAATGATCAAAGGTCACCCTGAACAGGATGATTTGAAGAGTTTGATATCAATGATTGCTTAAGAAGAAAATTAATGTGGAAAATATCTGAATTTGTGGCAAAAAAAAAAAAAGAAAAAAAAAGAAAAAAATCTTTTTATGCCATCTACTCTAAAATCGATTTGAATGCAGTCAAGCCACAGGGATTAGGAGAAGGGAAACGATAGCAAGACCCAGCAACGAATTGGACCATATTGCAAATTACACATTGAACTTCTGCTGTTCAGGAAGAAGAAGCTGATGGCAAGAATGTTTTTTTTTTTTTCTTTTTTTTTTTTTGCCTTTGTATTAACTCTGTAAAAAGAACAGGGATATTTTCTTTTAAAGCTGCAGGGTACAAAGCAACATGGTACCCCAGAAAATATGTGGAAACAGTTAGCATCCACCAAAATGTCATGCCACACATGATGAGGCCAAAATACAAAAATGCATTTTTGGACAGTTGGCGAATAGACGGGAATGATATCTTGGTAACAAAATTTAGAAAAAAGTCAAAACAACGGGAAATAGCATTGACTTCCAAAAAGAGCAAAGGAAATTGAAAATCAAAGCATGCAGCTGTCAACGTTAAAGTGATGTTAGGGTTAGAATGGTGTGAATTTCTGTGTAAACACATGATTGGATGACTGGGGCCCTGTCTTTGTCTTTCTTCACAAATCCCCATGGATCTCAGGCTTCACAGCACAGTTTTTAACCCATTTCCACAACAATCTTTCACATACTCTTTGAAAAAATTTGGGAATGACCTTCAAAAAGCAGAATAACACTAAAGTCCTCACCAGTCATGCATCTCAGTGTTTATAGAATATTATTCTTTACAGTTAGATTAGGAGTTACTATACAAAACACTTTACTTAAAAAAAAACAACAACTTAATCTTATTTCTACTGCTGAGATTAAGCTAAATGCATCTTGTCTTATGGGATGTCATAGAGTGCAAGTCCCACAAGCTCAGCTTTTTTTTTTTTTTTTTGCAGAATAGCAAACCATCATTTTTCCTCCCTGACATCAATCTGAGCCCCTAACTGTTTTAAAAATAAATGATCTAATATTCTGACAGGAAATTAAAATCCACAAGCTCAGTTTTAAAGATATTTTCTATGTTGTCTTAATGGGCTACAAAACTATACCGTCCTACTAAAACTGAAAACCCTTTCGAAAATAATCTATCATCCACCTTATAAAGGTGTGTAAAAGTTTTATTCTTTGGTATGACACTTGGTATTTGGTACAACTGACTGTTCTTATGCACAAAAATAAAAAGTTGTTAAAACAGGGAAATTCCCAAATTCTTTCAAACTGATTCTCTGAAGTTATCACAACATTTTAGAATTTTTTAATAATTATATACAAAAAAGACAGAATAACAAGTACACCTAAAAGCAAAAGTATGACCCAAAAAAAAGAAAAACCTGTACACAGAAATTCAATGATATCTGTTCTCTATCACATGTACCAACGCAAGCCTCTAAATCTGGAAAAGCACAAATGAAAACAAAAAAAGTAAAAAACAAAACGAAACAACAGTGTAATCTAGGCAACACTCATTTTAGCTGAAAACAAATTTTTAAAAACAAAAAAAAAAAACTGTCAAAATGTATTGTTTCAAAATGAAAATCAGTGGAGCATTGAATGGCAGGAGCGATGGACTCAAACATGACGTGGAACATTTTGCAGCATCAGTGCAGAGAACATGGTTCACCGTCATACAAATGTAGCACACTTATGATGACATGTACTAAGCCCTATTATTCCTTTCAGCAGACAACATTTGTATGTATATTGGTGACCATGTTAACCACTTTGAAAGACCCCATGTGCAAGTGTAGCTCATGATATCAATGGCTTTCTATGGTACTGTTGTCAACTAGCAACAAGCTAAACAAACTATGTATGACTGATGTACACATTCAACAGTTTTCAATTTGACTGTAAACTTTGTATTTGTTAACGCAGCTTTCCTTGGATTGGATTACATGTCGTGCAGTTTGCTACTCTGACTGTTGCTACATTGGCTGTTTTATGAAGTTACACTTTGTCTAACCATGGGGGTGTGATGCTTTGAGGATGCCTTGATCCTCTGATGCCGATGGGTGAATGCACAAAGAAAGCAAGCAAATGCAAACTAACCTAGCCCACCTGCTTGGCTTTCACACTCCTCCAGGTCTTCGTCATCGCTTGAACACTCTGCAGATGACACCATGTCCTCTCCTGTATGCTTCACGGGCAGAACGGTGGTCATCAGAAGTCAAACACAAACAACAAGAAACACAGAAGACACACAAGGACAGGGGGAAGATACACAAATCAAGTTAGAAAGTGAACATTATTAACCACTGAAACACTAGTTTGACGAAAATATCTTAACTCAGGGTTCATTGTTTTTCAGAACTGAGTTTTTTTACACAGTTTCCCTCAGTTGATGTGAGATGGCTTAGTTGTCACAGAGATTGATCAGCTGCTGGGGAATTTTACTAGTCATATGGGAGGAGATGGAAACCTCTGTCTGCGGTCTGAGATGATCCCTGGTGTCAGGTGTGAATGTCCTCAGTGATCTTTCTCCAGGTGGATGACCCCTGAGCTCTGGATGCTGTGAGTGGTTTTGGTCTGATGGTCACAGACAGCACATGTCTGTTTTCGGTGTTTGTGTCTTTTTTTCCCCCAGCTTCCAAGCAAAAAGAAAAGAAAACAGAATAAAAAAGAAATTGTTGTTGAACTAAAAAGAAAAAAAGAGGCTGCAAGTTGTAGAGAAAGTTTTTCTGATTGTCTTTAGGCTGTTGAATGGTTTGTGATAAGTGATGACTTCTTGTTAAGATCCTGTAAGTCATGCAAGTCTCACAACAATGTAGCAGTGTCCAATAAATCAGAATCTCAGCAGGTCTATTTGTCACCTCGACCTTTAGTCCGTCCCTTTCTCTGTTGTTCTAAGATGTTGTGCTCTGGGAAGACGGGTCGTCACCACTTAGCTTTTATATTACAAGTTCAACTGTGTCTAAAAGCCTAATTGGACCTTGAGTTAAGACTTTTTGTCAACAAACATGATAAGTAAAAGGCAAGGCATGACAAACAAAATCTGAGCAGTTCTACCGACTCGTCATTCTCAGAGTGTGGATTGTCAAAGCAGTTAGCGTCTCAGAGGTATGCACAAGATGTCCTTTCTTGTTGGGGTAAAATACACTCCTTTACAACATTAACCACATGTTACAAGACTAACTTCTTGTCTGAAAATCAGTGACAGTGATGAAAACAGCAGAGAACCTATCACCAATGCTTACAGCTTTCACTGAACTACCCTGTGCATTCAAAGATTACCCACCGCATTCACATACAACACCAAGGGGTCCTGACAACGGGGTTGCATGTAACATGGGGGGAGTAAGACTTGGTTCATTCTACCAAAGCATGACTTTTCTGCAACTGCCGAACAACAAAAGACTTTTAATGTGAAACAGCAGCATTTTCAGTTGTCATTAGCAACGAACACAAATCAAAGACACCTCAAGAGGATCTGCAACAGCAATTAGGCTGATATCTCAAAGTACCTTATGCAGACTGTCACTCCCAAGTATGTCATTCAGTACACAGTAGAATCTACCCACCCATGCCTTTTTTTTTTCCACAGTCAGAAGATAGCGGCCATCACCACAATTTAAGGACAGGTACGTATTTTTTAAGTTTGTCTGAAAATAGCAGGGACATATGGTGCCCATGTGTACACTGAACCAGTTTTGTAATTCTTCTGGTCTTACTGGCATCAAAAGATTTTTTCTTATCACGCTTCCATTAGAAGAAATGGGAGACAAAGTCCACAGCCCCGAATCTATCTAAAATATTCACATTGCAAAGTTCATCTGAAACCACTATTTTGTCCACCATCTCTTACACTGACACTTCAAGAATGGATTTTAACCACACAGAAACAGAGGAATGTGAATCTAGTCTGTGTGTATTTCCCTGTATATGTTGTTTTGAAGTCTGGCCATACCTGTACAGTTGAGGAGGATCTGTGTTTCCGTGTGGTCGTGGTGGACATCATGGTAGTAGTTTCTATAAAGGTGGTGGACATCTCTGGAGGCATGGCTGTGGTCCTGGCTGAACCTGCCACACTGGGCACATCACCTACCAACCTCACACTGCCATTAATCTTGATGTTAGGGTTGCCCTCAGCAGCCATGTTCAACACCTTAAGGCCATTGTAATAAAGGCCCGACAGTTGACCCTGAAAGGGTCTGCCGCGATCGCTACCACCAATTGCGACCGTTGCTTGAGTGTTGAAAATTGTTAGCTGCCGTCCTGGAGAAGACATCCAGAGTAAGACATTTTCAACAGGGAAAAGCACATTTTATTATAGAGGATACAATAGAAATGAGCACACACCTGCACAATATAACCAAAATATTGAATGTTCCAAAATACAGCAAAACAGCAACGTTACTAATAAAGTAAATAGTCGTGTTTGTTTTGCTGAGGTTGTACTTTGGAGCCCATATATTCAGTGTAGCTAACTGACCTGTTGGCTTTTAATTATACACTGATTCAATTTAAAATGAATATAATGATTAAAAGATACAATTTTGATTCATTTAACATTTCAGTGATATTGCACAGGAAGTTACTCAATTATGTTGAAAGTTTCACTCGACCTTTTAATAGCTGCAGAACTACTTTAAAACGGGAACTTTATGTAACGCGACATAACAACCAGCTCAAGCTGCACTTTACCAGTTTGGTATTTTCCTGACTGTGCCAGTGTGATCGTTTATTGCCAAGTTGTTAGTATTATGGTAGAAACTGGGTCTCAGATGTTGCACTGAGAATAGAAGTCTCCTTCTGGTGCAAAGTGACTCAGCAGTCAATTTGATCATTTTTATATACAAGAGCAATATAAAAACCTGAGGTCATGGAATAATGCCAGTGGTTTTACTCTAGATGCATTTGAATCTGCATCAAAAAAACAACACTTCACAGTTTGCATTAAACAAATGTCGATGATTCTTGCACCACGTATCTACAGCTGGTTAAACTGCAACAAGACAGATGCAGCAGGTTGATAAATCTGCAGCCACAGATCTGTGCTGCACTGAAGGGCAGGACGCTGGAGGGCAGTGCCATCACACAAGGCTCAGCTGTGTTCGCCTTGGTTAAATCAGCAGAAAATGACCTCAAGCTGCTCCAGATTACACCTCCACACACACATCAGACTGGTGGGCTAACAGTTAACGTTGGACACATCAGATTATTTGACACCTTTTCAACTTTTATTTTAACAAGGGAAGTTGTTTCATTCTTTTTTTGTCTTAGCACTGTTTAGTTACATTAGTGATGTAAACATGATTGGCTCAGTGCTGTATAAATATGTGTCATGTTGCCGCCTAAGTGTGTTCATAATTCAGCGCACCACACAAATGACACAACATGTGGGGTTAGCTTTAGAATCCCCAAACAGTCTGAGTAGACTTCTCATTTTGCACTGGTCCTTGTACTATTATACAGTGACTTTTATTATCCATTGATTTATTTTATGATTTATTGGCTAATTTTTATTGCTATTTAGCATCGTAGTAATTTTATTCCATTTTTATTTTTTGCCCACATAAACGTGCATGCATCAGTTTACGTTCATGTTCAGGCTCATACCAAAAATAAATGTTGTAAATACAAAGCATCATTTTGGCATGATAACTTTAAACGTAAGCATTTCAATGTGTATGACTGTGTTATAACATGCATTAATGCAGTATTACAGATATCGTTGTTTTTAAATCATTAAAATCACACAGTTCATTTAGTCCTTAGAGCATGCGTTCCTTCTGGAAGTGAACATGAGCTGTTTCACATTTCATCAGAACAGTGAGGACATAAACATATGTTTATTTGAAATTACCTTTCTCTTGTAGCCATTCTTCTACTGGTCTGGTATATTTGAATGGGATTTTCTTATTGGCCATTTGATAGCGTTCAATGTCGCTGTTCCCTTTAAAGTTTAAGAAGACATTTATAAAGACATTTATTGATCATCAGGATCATGTCACCTGAGAGAAATATCGCTTTCTGACAAACATTTACAAAAGGTTAGATTGAATTTAGTAAAAAAATTACATTTTGATTGCAGGTGTTTTAGTAACAGGATAACTAGGGCTCAAAATCTTTGGTTTTTTGGAAGAAAAACCCATCGAAAAAACGAAAAGCCTTCCTGGCACATTATTGGCTGATTTAAGTATTTCCTCCCTTTTCCTCTTCACTTTGTATAGAGAGTATCCACAGATGTCACATTTAATATGCCACCATGCAGTGGCATACCAAACACTACGACTTCTCTTCATGGTAGGATTATGGTTACTGTATACTCTGACCAAAAATCAGAAATATTTATACAATGTCCACGCTACAATTCCTTCTAACAGTCAGTTTTTTCCCTTTTGTTTCTTCCTATGTCATTTTAATGTAAATAAAATCATCACGTTCCTCCCTGACAGCATCAGCTTCCTCTAAATCTTCATTAAATAGAACATTTACACAGAGAAATACTCAAACAAACTTTTCCTTCCTCAATCATTGATGTGTATTTTTGCACCACTTTCTCCATCAGAAGCACACATGTAGTCTATGTTGCATCGAAACCAAAGACAGTGAGTCATGTTGGGTTTTTTTCTGAGCACGACATCAAATTGAGATTTTCTGGATGCCTTTGCATCAGTTTATATAAATATCACCACCATCCAGCCTAAAGTTTTTGGAACCTTTGAAAACATGAGGATCTGGACTCCAATTGAAAACTATTAGTATGTGTGTGTGCCGACCTGTCCAGGGTGTCCCCTGCCTTCGCCCTGAGTCGGCTGGGATAGGCTCCAGCCCCCCCGCGACCCTAATAAGGATTAAGCGGTGTATAGAAAATGGATGGATGGATGTGTGTGTGTGTGTGTGTTTTCTATGTTGAAAAAAACAATGTCAAATGCTTTTGATTGTGTCCTTGATAGTAACCATGGTGACTACATTTGCAGTGACATCACATGCATACTCTCCTTTATTTACTGCAAACAGCAGTTTTCATTGAACACTGTCATCTCAGTAAAAATCTGTTTTGTTTTGTTGTTCAAATATATTTAAATAAAACTCAGGAAAGGAACCAAAAAGGATGAGCCCTGAGAAAGAAAAAAAACAAAAAACAAAAAGGAAACATTAGTCATAGCAGTTGCCACTGTACTCGCTTTAGTTTGTGTGCATCACAGGATTCAGAATAAACTTTTCTGGACACATCTGAGCTTTGAGTATTGTTGTAATGTGACGGAGGCAAAACACACAATACACAGCACACAAAGGTTTAGTCACATTTTTGTCTACAGTTCACTGGACAGCATGTGCACTTATGGTCCTGATACTGAAAACTACACAGAGGTTTCGAGGAGGCTCTAAAATAAGGATACTTATAAATCTTGCTGAATGGTAAAAGACATGAACGTGTAACTTTAACCAAAGTGCTTTTGGTGACTAAATCTGTTCACAGTCAGCGAAGAAAGCTTTGATAAAAACGAAAAGGTAATGTAAACGACAGACAAAAAGACAAACTTTTTAATAATTACAGTCCTATTTTAAAATGTCATTCAATAGCAAAAGCACAGAGGGGGTCCTAAGTAGTAAAATTACCCCAAAATATCTCTTGTTCAGAAGTTGGTTTACTGTTGCGCTACTGTTGACAGGTATCAGCTTGTATTCTGTCCCATTCATGTCTCTGTCAGATACAAAAAAAGCAAGTTCAGGCAGTCTGGGTCAACACTCACATGACACATTCCTCTCACTGCAACACAAATCCAACACATGTTTGTAATCTTGGAGATGTTCTGAAGGTATCAGTGCTCTGCTTATTCTTTTGCTGCTTGGTTGCACACAGCGCTAACATGAAAGTTATGCCATTGTTCAATTCTGCCACCGCTGATGGCATAATGCAGTAGGGCAAAAGTAAAGAAAGTGGCAAATGTGCTATGACGAGAAGAGATTTATGTTTAGTCAAGGTTTTTTTCTCACTTGATGTGTTTTGCTGGCGAAACTAAATCAATCATCAGTGTTACAAACGTAATATCACACATCATTCACTCATATTAATTAGGTGTATGGTGGAGCCACTGCAGATCACAATAATACAATCTTCTGCATATCTAACCTTTGTTTTATTTATTTTCTGTGAGCCTGCACAGCATACCTGTTGAGTCACAGGGGGAGTTACACAACATGGTACTGAAGGCGCGTCATATTTTTCATTGTTTCACATTCATACGCACACTAACACACCAGTAGCCACAGAGCTGGTGTGCAAGGTGTCATCAAGAGAGAACCGAGGGTTCCGTGTCTTGCCGAAGGACACTTTAGTAGGTGGGGATTAGATGACCAACACTGCAATTAGTGGACAGCATGCTCTGCACAATTTAAAACCAGGAAACAAACATTTTCAAATTGAAAGGCAAACAGTTCATCACCTAAATGAACAGCCAAAACTGCTGAAAATGAGAATGGCAAAGCAATGAAACTAAACCTAAGAACATATTGTTTTACCATAAGAATCAAGAAAGATGGCACACAGCCTGGGAAGGACAAAACTTCTTGCCAGAAATAAAAGCTCAATAGCTGGTTTTGGTCAGAGGATGGCTAATCTGTCCCTGTCCTCACACCAGGGACACATCTGGTGATCTGCATGAACTGGTCCTCTCAGTTTACTCATTCATTTTGGATGAAGCAACAACGACCTTTCCATACAGAGGAGCAGCAGGGCAATACTGAGCAGAAGAACCAGAACATCTCATGTGGGTGACAGTTCCAGACGGTGAGCTGCTGAAGACCAACACAGGGTCACAGAGATATGACAGCGTGAGTGTCCTCCCCTTATCGTTAGTCTTTGAGCACCTTGCTGTTCTACTGCTGCAGCTTGGTGAAGGAGGCTTGCAGTTTCCATCATATCCCCATTTAGGTCAAGCACCTGGAAACACTGCCAAACAGTTGAATACTAGAATGCCCCTTCAATGCAAAAGGCCACAGTGAACTGCACAACATTATACTCAAAGACCCAGCACAGCAGAACAATTTGTCCGTTACACTTGTCTCAAACACACCAGGACTCCAGGGTGCTGATCACCCATTGAAAACTGTTGCACTGAACCCAAGCACTGAAATAAGTGATAGAGTAGGCGGGTGGGCAAGGGCACAAGTGTGGATTCTGTGCTACTAGAGGGCTTTTGTCTGGGACAGGCAAATGATGGAAATCGTCTTGAAGTCTGTACGAGCTCTATTCATTAGAGAGTCTCCTGTAGGGACTGATATGTTCTGTTCGTTTATTTATTTAGTGTTAAGATAAAGGTCTCTGTACCTTCAACATATTTTAATATGAATTAATAAGACTCTGTATCACATCTTCTTCTTCTTCTGCAATTATTATGTACAATACTATTTTCTTCAGTCTGTCATAGACATGGAGGAAATTTCAGTAAACAATTAGGTCTGTTGAAACAAATCAAGAAATTGTCGAATTGCCAGACACATCATTTTCGCTAATGCTGCCAGTTAACAATGAGCAAGTTTCACTGTGCAGAAGCAGAGGCAGCACAGATGCTTAGCGTTTTGGGCTGATACACATGGCTCAAGTGCGACAACGTGTAGTTGTTCCTATTAGATCACTGTTGTACTTTCTGCATCTGCGATTATATGAGGGTCAGTCTGATGTAAATTTTGTGATCTCCAGAAGTCCCCAAGCATCTCTTCCACACATGTCCACCCTAAACTTGTGTCTGTGTGGCAACAATACAAGGGGATGTGTAGATGTAGATGCTGTATTGTAGAGAACAACATCCCCTAAGACTCCAGCAGACTACAAAAGTAGTATAACAACAACCACTACGTGTCCGTGGTGTCTGCAGCTGTCTGTGTGCACAAGGTCTACCAGGACGTATAAGCAAGGCTTTATATATCCAGACGTGTTCACAATGTCAGCTTCTACTGTACATGAAAATTACTGCTAAACTTGCACGATTTCCCTTGTAGAGTTCACATTTTGGGCTGCACACAGATGTCCACTGATCCTTTCACACTCGCTCACGCAAAAAGTTTAACATTGGCCTTACTGATTAATTTACAAATAAATTATGAACAATATATTTTCAAGACATTTGGGAAATTCACCATCTCTACTGATTTCATATTAACACACTAGCCTACTAATACTAATACTAGAGATTGTCATGTCACTTCCATACTGTTTCCTCCTCCACTGACTCGAGGATAGATTCTTGCTTTGCCAATACAATGTAAATTGAAGTACCTTCATTTAACCACACAAGTCTCAGTCAGCAGCTTGCCAGCTCACAGCCAGCAATGTTTTAATCAAATATTGCTCACATTATAGCCTTGAACGTTCTTTTTCCAGTTACATCCTTGTTTTATTTGCCCTTACATTTCCTTTCATTCTAGCCTAAGACTAATTCCATATGCATTATCTTCCCTATCTGTATTTAACACCATTCTCCAATTACTCTCCCATAATGTTTTATGTTCTATCAGATATTCCTCACAGAAACTGGAGAATCCTGCTGTGAGCTGTCCACCACACACATCTGAAGTTGACAAGATGGTCTGGTCCTCTAGACAAGTTAGCTTTTGAGAGTTCTCTTGCATTTTCCTTCTCAATTCCAAGAATCAAATGAAAAGCTACAAGTCATGTCGTTTTTACTGCTCATGCTGTCTCTACTGTCTGTCCACGCAAGTTGCATTAACAAAAAAACAGCAATGTAGCTGGCAGGCACAGCAGGCCTTGGAGAGTGGGAAACAGGGGAGTGTGGGAGCTGGGAGAGGATACACAAATGAAAGCAATGATCCTCTGCCAAGCTGTGCTGTTTCTAAATGCTACTTCTGTTAATGATGAGATCAGCAGGATGGGGATTATCACAGGCAGTTTGCGTCAACTTTTCCCCTCTTTCTTTTGCTTTTCTCTCATTTGTAAACACACACCGAACCTCTACTGGCAACAGAGAAGCGGGTTGCGTGAGCACACAGATGGGTGGCAAATAAAAGAAAAAACCTGAACCCTTGACCCCCACAGTGAGGAGATCCGGTGGATCTGTTATGGTGTAGAGGCTGTTTTGTTGACATGATTTAGGTCCAGTTGTCCCACTCAGGAAAGAGTCACTCCAAATCAACACAAAGTCTTTCTGAGTGATCACCTTTATTTTATGATGAGACTTTTCTGCCTGATAAGAGTTGTCTCTTTCAGGATGACAGTGCCTCCATCCATCTATGGTTCCATAAGTATGAAAATGGTATAAATCAGATGTTTTGGGCTTCACAGTCACCAGATCCAAGCCCAACTGAAACCCCTAAACTGATGTGTTAGACAGTTCTCTCCACCACCACCCTCAAAACACCAAATCGTTTGAAAGAATGGTGTTCTTTGAGAGTTAATGTTATGGTGCACTGAGGCTGTTTGGATGCCACATGGTGGTCCAACACCTTACCAACACACGTTATGTTGGGTTTCCCTTTAATTTGCAACAGTGTCATTATAAACATGGTTCACTATAACTCTTCCTGTAAGAACCCATGTTCCAAAGAGATCCATGATCAGATCCTTTGGCCCGCAATAGCCCTAAGACATTAAGGTACAGTCTGTAGTGAGCATAGTCAGAGCTCATGCTTGCAGCAACACACATTTTTGACAAACAGCATAACTCTAGTGAAAGACATAGTGCAGATTTCTGACTCCAGTCATTATCATTCTAAATTCATAAATTAGTTAATATGCAGATCTGAAGCATGAATATGACTTTAAACCTATATGATCTGTCTGCAACCTATTATAGTTTCAATTCTTATGATTTTTAGTATTTTTTTACTCAGTTGGATGAATTCAGTGAAAGTCATGTCACAGACTGTGTGTTGCAGTTCCTGCTGGAGACCAACAGAGGTCCACAGAGTTCACAGATTACATAGTGACCCACAAAGCTGTTGCTGGTTTGAGTGGGTTAGTTGTACTGTTACTGTGCCTACAAAATGTTTAGGGCACTGACAGATAAACTCCATCTTGTTCTAACTTCATGTCCATGCATGTGCTTCTGTTAAAGCATTTTTTTTTTATAAGCTGAGGTTACTTAAGATGAAAACAAAAGCAAATGCTGTCCAGTGACCTTCGCAGCTGGATCATAACAACATGATCCCATGGTGCTATTATAGCTTCTTAATTGTTACACTTTCACAATTGATTAACTGATCAATGTTTTACCTGTTGGGAAATGTTCATTGATGGACCAGTTGTCCACCTGTAGCGTAGCGTTGCCACCATTCCTGGTGAAACGAACAACATGATACTTCCCATCATTCACTGGGGTACTGCTTTCCTGCACACCAATATCCACTGTGCCAATGTTGAATGTCACCCCAATTTTGCCTTGTTGCTGAAATGAAAAAAAAAAACAAAACACACATATTATTGGTATAATATTACTGCTTAATAATGCTAACAATTTCTTTGTCTGTATCAGCTGTGATGTCAAACAGAAAACACAGGGAAACTGTTTGTTTTCTTTGATACCAGTGTCTTATCTTGCTCTCTGTAATGAAATGGGAGGTTGGAAATCAACAACATCTTGTGTTTTATGCAGTCGAAAACTCAGACCTCTTTAAACTTTGACAGTCACAGCCCTGGTATGTTAATAGGATGATGAATCAGAAGACAAATAAGTTCTGTTTCTTTCTTATTTTTGATCTTATTTGTCTTCTGGTTCTTGAGTTGGTTCTGTATCTTGTGTCAGGATTAAATGAAAACAGCCTGAACAGTATTTCATAATGACAGAACAGTGAACGATTAAGAACAGCCCAAAAAGTGAACTGTGACTTGTCCTATGGTCAGCCTCCAATCATCTAGAGCGGCAGATGGTGGTGGGGTGGGGGGTTGCTACACTAAGCATGAAGGTACAATGAGGAGCAAAATGAACCAATAGATAAGTTAAGTTATTGTCTTACAAACAGTAAATGTGCTATAACAAAGAAAATGAAAGAAAAATGAGGTGAAAACTGGTGCTTCACTAAAAAGAAGCAAGAATGTATTTGACAACTTACTATGTGCAGCATGAGATAGTCCCCCAGACCAGGAGCACTGTCTATTCTGACCAGGATGCCGTCCTTCAGGGAGGTGCTGAAGCCCACAGTCAGTCTGTCCGTCCTGGTGCTCGGCCTCTCATTTGCTGGCCACTTGAATGTAATGAGGCCTCCTCCTTTGCCGAAGATGTACGTCGTCCCAGCTGAACAGGGCAGAACTTATTATTAGTATTTGCTTCATTTCAGCCTCATAGGTTTGCGAAAATCAGGTATTCATTTTTTTACACACTTTCTAAGTTCTCTTCCAGTTCCCCAATAGGTCATCTTTTGGTTCTAATCTAAACAATTACAGACCCATTTCCACTCTATCAGTGCTGGCTAAAATTCTTCAAACATTTCTGAGCATCCAGTTGAGAGAGCATTAACATGCTAACACTGTCAGTGTGGATTTCTGAAAGCAGCATAGCATCATTTCTACCCCAGTGGCAGCTGTGAATGATGGATCATAGCAGCTGTGGTTACTTGATATAACCAAGCAGAAGGCTGGTTTACTAGTAACCAGGTAGGTGTATGTGAAAGATAATGGTTCAGTTCAAATGTGCTGTCTGTTGTTAATAGAATGCCCCAAAGGTTTTCTGTCAGGTCCACTTTTTACTCAAACCAAACCTTGTAATATTTACCTGCAAGCTGTTAACACCTTATTGCAAATATTCTTTTTAATCCAGTGGAGATATATAAGCCAGTTATGGATATTTTGAAGACAAATAGAATGACTTTAATATAATGCTGATGAATGTGTCACAGTTTGTACTTCAGACTTTTTTGTGGTTCTCAACAGGCATCAGCTTTTCAAGTTTTGTCTCTTTTCATCAGTGGAAACATGCAGAATGGTTCAAATTTACATTTGTGAACCAAAATGGTTCTGTTTTAGTGAACTGCCAATTTTGTATGCGTTCATTTCTGACTAATGGAAGCTAAACTACTGGTGTTCTCCTACTTACATTATGCACTGCAGGCAGCTGTGGCTGAGGTGGGAAAGCAGGTTGTCCACGAATCGTAAAACACTTGTGTGTGAACGTTCATGTGAATGGGAAACATTGTAAAGGGCTTTGACTCCCACTAAGGTAGAAAAGCTTTTTATAAGTGCAGACCACTTACCATATAGCATATGCTGTATGCTGGCCCATATGACTGCTACTAAATTGTAATCTATTGCTAAACCGGTGTGTGTGTGTGTTTGTGTGTATGTGCAAGCGTGTGTGAGGCTATTATACTGTACCTCCCACGATTTCACAAAAGCCCAAGCAACCAATGCTCTCACACACAAAAACACTATCACACACACATACAGACACACATATGCTAGCCGATGCTTCTGAGCAGGCCCAGACGGATGAGTCGATTCCTTGCTGAGGCAGATAAAGCCCGTCACAATAGCATTTCATTGCCAGAGCCCAGAACCCCAACTCTTGCTTCTCTACCCAAGCTGCTTTAGCCTGCACAAATTATGAAAACATTGCCTCCCCCTTGTGTCTGCTGAAAAAAAAAAAATGTTTATTCATCTCCTAACACAATATGCCAGTACGTTGTGAGAGTAGCTGTTTCAGCTGCATGTCCCAAATCTCTCTCTCTCCACTATTCTTCTATATGACTGCCCACCTGCAAAAGCAGAAAGAGAACTATGAAATTCTGCAAATGCCTTTGCCCCTAAGGAGGAAGCACACAATGCAGCATTGTGTGTTGTGATTGTACATGTTGTATTGCGGTACAATACAATCACAATACAATAAATAGTCTCTTGCTCTACAGAAATACAGTCATGTGGTATGTCGGTGGTATACAATAGCTTGTGCTGCATACTCCAGTGGTTTGCACAGAATGAGTGCACACAAGTAACCGAGAAAAGAGCATGATGACAGCTATGTCTGTGAAGCAACAGATTACAGTTCAAAACTATTTTAGAGATTTGCAAGTGTTTAACCCAGGAGTGATGTTGACCAGTGGTGTGGTAGGGGAGTCATAAAATCAGCTTGCTAATAACACCACCCTCAGATCATTGTGCACAGCAAACTTTCACAGGCTTTTTGGTATCCTTGTTCCATGCAGTACCAGAAATGCTGTCATGTTGGACATCTTGACAGTGACTATATACCAACGTCTCCCAGTTAACCACTCTTTATATCTGTGGTGAGCACAAAAACAGCTCAAAATGCACACATTCATTCAGGCAAAACAGCAGAAGACCATGTTGAGTACCACTCACATCAGTAAAGAACAGAAATGTGAGGTCGCAGTGAAGACAGGTTCAGCAACACTGGAAAGCTCAAGATCGAAAAATGCAGTCTGGTCTAAATAACCTCCACCACAGCCTGTCTGAGTATTGTTACAGATCATGCACATCCCTCAATGCACCATCTCACAAAGCAAAATGCACGACAAACTGTTTTTATGATCATGACAGTGACTTCAGTGGACTTCTGTGGCACTTCCACAACAGAACATCTTTATGATGTGGTCGAACAGATTGATAGTAAGAGTGTGCAGCTGACAAATCAGCAGAAATTATGTGATAAATGATGTCAACATGGAGCAGAATTTCAGATAGATGTTACATATATCTTGTGCAACCATGCCACGAAGAACTGAAACTGTTTTTGAGCCAAGGGTTAGTGTGGTTCTTCAAACAGATTTAGAGGTTCTTCACAACATTCAGTAAGTTCCACTCATAAGTAAGGTCACACTTTAAACTCAGTAACAGTTACCTTCCCCTGGCCATCAGACTGCTTAACGCCAAATAACCCCGGACTGTTTCTTTAAGAACACCCCCACTTCCCCAGACTGTCATTTATCTGTGAAATATTCTGCTGCTAATGACTTAGGTGCAATATTTTATATACTATTCTGTCACTGTTGTTTGCTCTTTTTACTTTTTCATAATATAATGCTATTTCTATGCTATTTTATATTGTTTATTGTTAGATCTTTTTTACATTGCACTAGCTTTTTTCTTATATATATAAATAGTTATATGTTTACAATAGTTATTATCATGTCACTGCCTCACAAGCTCCGGTTCTGTGTATTCCAGTTGCCAAGCAACAACATTTCGTTGCCAGATGTGTTTTTGTGCAATAACAGTAAAGAAAGTCTACGTCTTAGTCTAAACCTGACTATTTCAAGAGACAAACTTACAAAGTGCCAGTATGTTGTGAGTTGTGCTGCATTAAAGCCCAGCATAGTTTTTTAAAATATTCTGTTTTTTGGCCTTTTTGGATTTAGTAGACAGCTAAGTGGCGAAAAGAAGACAGGAAAGCAGAGACAAAAGTGAAGGAAGGACCTGCAGCTGTTGGCAGGATTCGAACCCATGGCAGCTGCACTGGGAACTACAGCCCCTGTTTATGGGTCGCCTGCTCAACCTGTTAACCCAACACAAGTGACAAAGATTGGTAAAAACAGGTTACACCTAATTTACCCATGTGACAAAGTAATCACTACCTTAGCTGCTAAAGCCAACAAAACACCAAACCGATGGGTAACTGGTTGCAGCTGAACTGCACACACCCAGACCTGACAACCACCAGTCCTGTGGTCGTCTTAAAGGTTTCACCAAAAGCACACTGTGACAAAATTGTTTGTCGAAATACATCAGTCTGGGAAGGCTTATAAAACCTTCACTAAAGCTCTGGAACTCCACAGTGAGCACTTTGGAACAACAGTGTACCTTCCCAGGAGTAAATGACCCCGAACATTCCTCCAGGACTCATCCAGGAGGTAACAAAGGATCAGAGGAAAGCATTCACAGAACTGCAGACGTTTCGTATGTCAGTGTTCATGAATCCATTTTCTAAAAAACCTGGAGTAAAAATGGCATCCAGTGGGAGAGTAGCAGAGTGAAAACCACTGCTGGTCCAGCAAAACATCAAGGCTCATCTGAATTTTGCCACAACTCTCCTGGATGAGCCTCAAACCTTTTAGAGAATGCTCTGTGGATGTGATGAGTAGCAAGTAAAACTGGAAGACAGGAGTCCTGTTAAGTCTGCAGGAAACCAGACAACAGGAAAGAACATTATATCTTGTGCATTATGTTTTTGTTATTCACTCAATATCTGGTGAACATGATCAGGTTTTAGAGCAATGGCAATATATGTAAAATACTTAGTCACTGTCCCTGTCCAAGGTTCTGAACCTGGCACAGCCACAGCACAATTCCCTTAGACAGGAAGATATGAACTCAAACTCATACAGGTATAAAACCAATTATAAGTGACCATATAACTGACAACCCTCAACACAGCACACTTTAACCTGAGTGCAGCATTGCCTATAGAGATCTCTTGTAACCTAACAAGCAGCAAACATTTCAAGGTAAAATAAATGCTTTAGATACGTTTTTATTCTGGCATTCATAGTAATTCTTTCAGTTTTGTACACGGCAGCTTGGTAATGGAGTACAGTAATGGAGTGTCGCCAGGACTGGAAAACAAACAAACAAACAAACAAAAAATGGAAATGTTTTCTTCTTACAATTTTACAACCTCCGAAAACTACATGTTTTTCACATGACTCCACAATATATAACATGTACTATGTTCCAAAAGTAGAAACAAAATGGAGAAACATTGTGTAAAACCCCGATTACGGTCACGATTGTTATCAATATGTCACATAACAACTTATAAAAATGCTGATTCAAAACGTTTGAAATGTAAATTTGTAATTCCTAAACCATTGCCTGATTTGGTGGCACAGCTTCTGTTTTGTGGCATAATGTACCACTGAGTGATCAAAAACACAAAATCTGTTTTGGGGGAGGGGGTTTATGGTCTTTTGTCTACATAAAGTCAGGAAAACAAACATCATTCAGAAAGTTATCTTCATTTAAACTATGCAGCATGCCTTTGAAACAATTTTAAAATTGTTCTTGCAGATGTGCCACTGAGCAATATTTGTTACATAATATTAATATTGATAATGTAATAAAGAATGAACATGTTTTTTTTTTGTTTTGTTCTTTTTATTTTTCATGTATTAGCAACTTAGCGGCATCTACCACATGAATTCCTTTGTACAAAAGGTCTTTAACTTGTATCCCCTCATTGCTGCGTTTGCCAGTTTTACACTGCCGATGAGTGGAACAGCAACTATCCCTGTTCAAAAAAAAAAATCTCCCAGTCCAATAGCTTCCACTGTACTATCTGATTGG